GTAGTCAGAAGTTTGTTAAAATTACACTAGAATAACTTTTGGTGTCCTTGTCATTTTTACAGGGGTCTATAATATAAACACAAACTACATATTTTAGGAACAGGGATGACAGTTTGCCAACTAGATGAATACCAGATTCCAAAAGGAACAAAAATGGGAAAAATTTATAGGCAAAGAAATTGTCCAATTAGAATTGTTGAGATTTTACAACATTCTTTTTCAAAACTTCATATCAAGAATCTTACATGGTGCAAGAATGAACTCATCTTCTCCCTCAAAGTGGACAAGTAATACGTATAGGCCAAGGAAGTGACAAATGACAGCTAATATTCAACCATTTGCTCCCCATGGACATTTTAGTAGTAGCACCTGGGCATAGTCTGGGCAGGGAAATGTGTCTCATTCAATGTGAAACTGGCTCAGGCGTTTAGTTCGGTCTAGATCAGGGGTTCTCAAATTGGCTACACGTTGAAATTGCTTGGGAAAGCTTTAAAATCATACCAATACCTAGGTTTCAATCCCAGATAGTGCAACTTAATTTGGGCAGCAGAATTTTTTAAAGGTTTCAGGCAATTATACTGTGCAGCCATTCCTGAGAACCACTGGCTTGTCATTCCCAAGGACTTCAGATAGATGAAGCTGATTCGAGCACTTGCCAGAAGGTCTGACTCAGAATTCAGCTATAAGCTCAATTTAAAGATTTCAAACTTCCAGTATCTTTTTTTTTTTTAAAGATTTTATTTATTTATTTGACAGAGAGAGAGAGATCACAAGTAGACAGAGAGGCAGGCAGAGAGAGAGGGGGAAGCAGGCCCTCTGCTGAGCTGGGAGCCCGATGTGGGTCTCGATCCCAGGACCCTGAGATCATGACCTGAGCTGAAGGCAGAGGCTTTAACCCACTGAGCCACCCAGGCACCCCTCAAACTACCCAGGGACATAGATAGTATGATTTTTAAAATTTCTCCCTTTGAGATAAAACAACAACAACAATAACAAACAAAGCATGTACACACTCATACACACACATGCACACCCGCAAATGAAGATTTTAAAGACTGCTCACCAGTTGAACACTTGGATCATTCTTCGGTGTATTAGTGGTTAGCTTAAACAGTGCACTATAATCAAAAATCTATGAAATCACTACATACTTTTAAAACAGTTTTCTGACTCACTGTTCACTTGGCAATTTCACAAAGCTCAGTCTTGTAGGATTTGAGCTGTTGTGAATGGAATCATCTCTTCTGTAGGATTTGAGCTGTTGTGAATGGAATCATCTCTTCCCAAACAAATGACAGTTTAAATTCACAGGGCATGAGGATTTATTCCATTCATCCAACTCAACAATGTATTTCCTATAGCAAAGACAAGCCATTTCTTTAGCTTGTGTTTTGCATTTTTGCATATAACTTGGGTTGGACAGACATAGACAATTACACGTACTGAAATCTCCCACAATATTAGGCAGCACAATATGGGTGTTTAAAAATAAGACACCCTATTTTTAGCTTCAGACAGGACCACTTAGGGAAGAGTTGTCTAAGTTTCCTGGATGACTGGCTGTGTTGATGGCACTTCTCTGAAGTAGCTTTAAGAATCAGGGCTACTAAAGCTTTGAGGACACCAACCATGTTCTGCTTCTTGCCACAAAAATGTCAGTCCTTTACCAGGTGAAAGAAATTCCTGTTGATTCTTAATTGACAATTAGCAGAAACGGAATTCCAGATTCCCTTACAGCAAGCACTAGCTTTCAGAAACTCTTGTAATCAGGAATTCCTCTTTATGTTTGTTTTAAGATACTCAGATGATCATTAATTAATATCATGGGGGGATCTTCACTGTGGTTTGTCTTGTTTTCATTTCAAACATTTGAAGGTTAGGTTGAGTATACATTATTAATTTCTGTGATCTGAGTATTGCAATCAATACTTTAGTCAGTTAATAAAGCTTTATGCCTTCTCTTAGAATTTTAAAACTGAAAGCATAGAAAGTGATATACATAATAATTTATGAAATTGCTATTTGTATTATTTATATAAAATGATTGTTGACGAACACAGAATTCTGCCATGAACGCACTAACTATTCATATATCAAGAAGCCTAAAAAAATTACTGTGAAATAGGTGTGAAAATTTTTTTACTTCAAAAGTCTCTAAGGGGCATATCACAAAGATCAATGGTATGATCAACTCATGAACGTGTTGGCATCCGCCCCATCATACCAACAGTGGCCTCTTCTAACACTTCCAATTCATGACTTGCGAGGGAAGTTCCACAGAGTCTAAGATAAAGGACAGTTGTAGCATCACCTACCTGAGGTAACAAGGCTGTGGTCTCATTACTGGCTATACAGTATACACTCGACTCTGCCATGATAGGTTCCTATCTTATTGACATCACTAGTCCCAAACTCCAAGAGAATTCAAATATTGCACTTTAAAAAATATGTTCTATTATGTATTCTACAAATGTAGAATCAAGGATTTTTGAAGTTTATTTTAAGCCCTGTAAGGCCTGGAACTGTTGTAGGAAATAAGGGACAATGAGGGTTCTACAGAATTTTCCAGAGGCTTGCAGAACATACCTACTGCAGAATCATTGTACTGTCATAATCTGGCTTATACAATTTTATTGCGTGATGAAATATCTCCAGGTCGGAGAAGATAAACTTTCGTTCACTATCCCAATGAATGGGCGTAAGATGAAACAGACACACTCTGAAGGAACCCCAAGAAAAGGCTGTCATTACTTAGGCAGGTAAACTGAAGTAGAAATGAGAACATCAGTTCTTCACTTCTTACAATGAAACTGAGCCCATTTCTTACACCTCTATTTTATCATGCCTTATCTTTTTAATACCAATATTTTTATTCAAATATTTAAAAGCTGTATGTTATTCTTTCAAATACTTGAAAATATATTCTAAAGCCATTGGCAATGAGTATCAGGGTTTATGTCCTTCATCTCAGTAATGCTCTCTCTGTGAAGGGACATTAAGGAAGTCATGCATGATCAGGTTAAATAATACACAGGAGAATGATAAATCACATTACTTGCACTGATAAAAAGCAAATACCGGAGTCACTCTAAATGTCTCATAATTAGGAAATGGAATACCCAGAAGAGACAAAAACTAAGTTTTTGAGAGAAGTTTTCAAATCTGGTAACATACTCATGACATACTCTTATGTCAAAAAAAGAAAGCTAAAAAGATGTGTATACGATTAGATTTCAATTTTATTTTAAAGCTGCTTGGGAGAAAAGCAAAAAGAAAACATGTTCTTGTATGTTTCCACATTTATTAATATGGACCTATATTATCTTTGCAGTCAGGATAAATTCATCTAATTTTATTATAAAAGCTGGAAGTATATCAAAATGCTAGTAGTGGTATTCTTTAACTGATGAGATTATAGGTGATGATTTTTAAAATACATTCCCCAATTTTTTTCTTTCATAAAGAGTACATATAACTTTCATAGTAAGAAAAATACACTGCACGGCACCTGGGTGGCTCAGTGGGTTAAGCCTCTGCCTTCGGCTCATGTCATGATCCCAGAGTCCTGGGATGGAGCCCCGCATCGGGCTCTCTGCTCAGCAGGGGGCCTGCTTCCGCCTCTCTCTCTGCCTGCCTCCCTGCCTACTTGTGATCTCTGTCTGTCAAATAAATAAATAAAATCTTTGAAAAGAAATACACCGCTAGTGAGTCATGTACGTGCTGCTGCATCTTAATTCTTTGCTCCACTGGCGGTGAATTATCAGAACACATTTCAAAATGTACTTATTAAAGCCTTAGGTGCAAAACACTAATGCTTCATTTTAAGAGACTTTTGGTGATTTTGCTGTGAATTCTAATGAAAACTTTTATTGGGAGAAAGTTGAGACTACTGAGTTTAACAGATTTTCCGAATGATCTGTGTGTTGGTGCTGAAGCCCTTTTCCATAAATGATCATATGTACCATAAAGTACTTCTCTTACGCAGGATTTCTTGGTGACAGAGTCACAACACACACCTGAATTTGGGTGCTGCCAACAACATGGAATATATAATCTCTGTATTCTAACTGAATCATCCTAATTATTTTAGATGGCAGGTAATGAATCGACATCAGGAATGTACCTATTTTTTTCCTGACTTATTTCTTCTGGTTTTGATGTCCGTGCCTTTGAATAGAGCTCAACAAAGCAAGGAGGAGTTCATTTCTATATGAGTAGAAGAATATACATCCTCCTTTGACTTTTCTTCCCAGGTAAGAAATACAAAAGACAACCAGTTCTTCTCAAATCGCACTGCTACTTTGTTTCATTCTAAATTAGTCATGAGCTATTGAATGTGCCTCAATTTTAAAATGTCAGTTTACTTTACAGCTCCGTACTGCTAATAATATATTATGCTCTTGTCAAACTTGACAGTAATTTTATGTATATACTAGGACATTATCTAACATGAGAATTCAAACTGGAGAAGTGAGAGAAGGCAGCACATGCATATGTAATATAAAAATGGTCAATTATCGATGAAAACGTTTGACTTACCTGTAAAAACATTGTACAAGGAAGTCACAGTAAAGGTAGCATTTTTTATGACAGACGCAAAAACAGATGCAGTAAACGAATGCTTTGCTCTTGCCAAAATAACTGAAAGACCTCTTTGTTTCTACCAGCAAGTGCTGATACACAGTTCTAAGTATTATGCCTAGTAAACAACATTTAAACACATACTTTATAAAACCAGGTATTATTTTCAATCTGTAATTTACACAAGGAAAGCATGTCAAGATATCAACCTGATGGCACTGCTTAAGAGTCACCAAAGAATATTAAAAATGTCATGTCACTGTCCCCAATCAGTTGTCGGAAATTACTGTCCCCTTAGGTTGTCTCCTTACGTTCTCCTTAAACATTCTTTTTATTACAAATACTTTCAGCGAGAGCGAGAACACTAAAATAAAATCAACATAGCCAGAGCAAAGAGAAATAAAATTTAAAAAGCCAACCTTTATTCCACTTTGAACAAGTTTGTGAATGTCCAAATAAGGCTCCTTGAAAATTTCTCCTTCAGGGGTAAGTATCTTCACGTAACCTTCTTTTTCCAGAATGAAGAGACGGTGCGAGCCATCCCCACTATGCAGGGCGCCGACAGGCTGGCGCAGCCCACTCACAACCTCCTGAATACAGAAGCAGTTGTGTTTGTGCTTTCTAAACAAATTAAAGAAAACCAGTAAGCTTTTCTTGAGGTGAAGGAGGTAAAGGATGTATTTGCATCCTTTTCAAAATCTATTTCCTCTAGGAATCAATGGTTTTGAGAATCATGACGTGCTGTTAGCCCAAAAGTCACCATATGATTCTTTTAAGTTCTTTTCAGTGGAACAAATAGCCTTCTACCAAAAAAAGTCAGAGAGAATCCAAATAAAAATTTTACAGATTTTTAAATTTCATGAGCTCATCATCTTCTCTTTCAGTGACTCTAATTAAAATTAGCTTTACTCACAATAATTAAGCCTTACAGAAAGGCCCTCAGAGAGAAAGTTCTGAGATCTATTTATAAAACTCTGATTTGCTAATAAGAATTGCGCTATTTCCATATGCTAACAACAGCCATAAAGGTCAAGTTTAAAACTATAATCATGAAATTCACGTGAATCACAGAGAGGCCAAACTCATAATAAAAGATTAGTAGTCTAAGCATTAAAGGCATTTAAGCAAATGTGATGTTAGAGAAGCAAACTACCAAAAAGAAAAAAAAAGAAGCGTCTGGAGGAGATAGCTGCTGGAATCAAACACAGACAGTTGATTCACTAACAAAACCACAAAACTGTTCAGTTGGTTTTTTGTTTTTGTTTTTGTTTTTTAAGATTAAAGAGCATTTATCTTTATGAACCTGCTGATCTCTTCCACTTTGTCATATTCTTCCATCTGGTCCAAGTAGTTAGATGCTGGTCCTCTGATTTGTTTTCTTGGAAAATCTGGAAAGCACAACCCACCATCTTTTCTTGCATAGTAAAAACAAAACTCTTCAGCAGTAGTTTGAAGGAAACCTTTAAAAAAAATGCAGAAAGACTCATTAGAAATAGTTAGCATGACAGTAAAAATGCCCTATTTGAAAGATAAAAAATGGGAAACATGTTTTAGAAAGTATATGAATATTCTAGGAAAATAATAAAAAGAAAGGACCACTTTTTAGCTTGGGATTTCCATTTTTTTTTTAACCAAAATTTAAGAATTTCTGTTAAAGTGAAATAATATGGCATGGGATATCTTAAAAGACTCATACGGAATACACAGAATCCAAATCCAGTGTTAATCTTATTGCACTGACCCTTTGCAAGCTTCCTCATTTACCATATGCTGTACTTGTAAGTTTATCCCATCACTGGTCAGCACTTTCCCCCCTACCATAACAAATAACATCCTAAGAAGAACACACTAGAGTCAAGAAAGAAATAGACCATCGGGTGCCTATTTGGGTCATTTTACAATCTTTTTCTCTGTCACTCACATGTGATTGAATAATAAATCTACTGAATATCACAAGGTCCTTATATGTCATAATAAATGACTGACTCACTGTGACGGTGTTAAGAACAGAGCCTCCATCTTCAAATACTTATGTGCCTTTTTCCTACACATCGCTTACAGAAAATAATGCTTATCTTGTAATATAAGAACTATATTTAAACTATCCCTTCAGTCTTCTCAATCAGAAAGCTGGTATGCCACCCTCACTGAAAAAAAATATGACAAGTCAAAACAGAAATGCAAAACAGACTTACTTAAAGGGATCTGAAAGATGTTTTCTCTTCTTTTACCGATTGAGAATTTTTTTTTTTATCAAATAAAAACAACTATATTTACTAAAGGGGAGGAGGACTTTATGACAAAAAAAAGAATTTTGACATTATTTTCACAATTTAAGTAAATAAGGTATTTTGGGGGGGGCACATTACTAAGATTCCTTCCATATTCTGATTACTTCTGCTTTCAGAATATGATGTTGTTACCAGAGTCAACCTTATATGATGTCCTAACTTCCTGCTGCAGGTCTCATATCTTTAACTACACATAACACTTTGATTTCTACCTAACAATTTAGATTATTGTACACATAACAGCTTTGTGATGAAGGTACCTTGTCCCTTGGCTGACGTTTAGAAGCTGTGTAATGGATTCAGGTTTGCAAGGATTTCTAAGAACAAGAACTGGGCACAACCAAGTGAGACTTATCCGTGGAATGTGAAAGACTAAAAGTCTATTTTCTAGGAGCTTGACTTGGGCCCCCTCAAACTTAAAACTAATCTGAGAATTCTGAGGGTCCTGATGTACATTTTGACCTAACTTTTGGGTAAAATGTATCATCCCTAAATTTCTGAGACAGACTCTTCAAGACCAGTACGGGACTAGACTGTGAGGAAACATCTTCTCCTTGGAAATCAAGCAAGTGAGAGCAGATGTCCTTGGGAGTGTGTGTGTGTGTGTGTGTGTGTGTGTGTGTGTGTAGGGGTGGGGTAAGGGTGAGACTGAAAGGAAGCACGGCAGCTGGGAGGGGTGCTTCATGGGAGGGGCAAGGCAGCTGGAAGGAGGTTATCCTTCTTTGAAAAAAATTCTGGGATTAGAAATTGGGGAGAGGAATGAAGGAGGCAGCATTTACTCTTCTTCAGTGATTCACTGTTTACAAAAGATAACTTTTCTCCTCCGTTCTTTCCTGGCTAAGCACATAGATGAAAACTGCTCAGTAGTGTTGAACAAGACTGTTTGATGTAAAAAGAGAAGGAAAACGGCATTGCTAAAGCAAACTTTTTGCAGTTTTGGGCTCGATCTTTTTCTGGGGACACACACACACACACACACACACACACACACACACACAGCCCCCATCAGGCATCAAGATCTCCATGCTAATATTATGCATGCAGGAATACTGTCATACTATGGATATATTTATAACTGAATGTGTAAATGAGAAATTTCGCTTTAATATGATCTTTGCCTGCAAGATCACATAAAAATTTCAAAGTGAAATTGATAAGAAATTTCAAGTTGGCTTTTTAAGAAATATCTCCATCCAGGATTACTGTCTGCAAACCAATACCATCTTAAGAGAAAATTAACAAACAATGCTGATGGCTGATTCCATTTGACAAGGTTATTGGCTGGGGACAAACGTGGAAGTGACAAATCATTTTCAAATGTAACACCTGAAGATTAAAGAGCATAGATTCATAAGCCCTATGGCTCCAAAGGTGTTCTCTTACCAAATTAAAACAAAAATGGAATTAACAGTGAATTACTCTTAGCTTTTTACAGAATCTACGCAAACTGAGTAAGGGTAAAGGAGGGAGCCAACTCAAAAGACACATAAAAATACGGACATTTTCCTCCTAATTATGATATTTGAATTGCAACATCTTATACTTTTGTTAATAGTTTACCTTAAATGATCTGATTTTGTGGACAGTGATGACTAGGATATATTTTCCTGTGAATAGCTAAAAGGAACCTGGTTTCAGGACACTGGGTTTACATTTGTTTATTGTCAGGGAAGATATAATTTACCAAATGGTACCCTTCTATCTGGGACAATACCCCGAGAGGCATTTTACCGAAGGTGGGTGTTTAGTTCACTTTGGATCATCATAGTATGATCAAGTCTACTGATGATGGAAATAACGTGGATTTTTCCAGCCAGCGGCATCTTTAAAATTCCTGATAACTTATCAAATACCCTGGACCTGTAACTATTCTCCTGGATCATGATGAATCCAGTCCTACTATACCACAAAGCAATGCACAACATACTGATGTAAATAAATATTCTCTGTGGAATGTTCTAAGCTCTAGCTTTCCTCTTGGCCATGTATGCTAGAGAAAAGTTACTTTTCTTCATTATGTATGCTGTTCACCATGATAAGGAAAAAAACAAAACACAAGAAAACCCACTGTCAGTGAGGTCTGCCCTTGACAGCATTTTCTAATAGAGGTAGTGGATTTTGATGTATCCATCCATTCCGTCTGGTTTGCTCTCCCGGGGACTAATAAGCCACATGTGTAAGGTATCTGACTGGGGTCAGGACTGGCTATGGACTACAGAGACTCAGTGGAATCAAACCCTTGACCTTGGCCTCATTAGCAACAGGATTAAACCAATTGAACTAATTGTATACAGACATTTCGCACTAAATAACCTACAGCTGAAGAGAGGACGGCCTGAGAGTGAGAAAAAGTATATCATGATACTCATGGTAACAAGTATAAAGGAGGAAGCAAGGCCACTGAACATGCATTTCCACCCTTTCCACAGAGTGTGCTATGTTTGCTGCGGGAACAGCAAAGCATTGCCTTGCTCCATACGGCAGGCAGAGAAGAGGGCCGCTGGTCTGAGCAGGGAGCGCCTGTGTGCCTGTGTGGGTGTTTGTTTTTCTTTTATTTTCAAATGCAATTTTGCTCTTTTATGAGTTTTAAGAATTTACTTCCTTAAGTCAATTCACAACTGGACAATATTATGATTAATAAAACACTAGTATATCTCCACTACGGTCTTTTAACTTTTTTCATGTTTTGAATAGAGGCAGACCATGAATATTTCTGAATTACAGTTTCTAAAGCACAGTTATCTTCTGGATGTTCTTGGATTCCAAGGTGACTGGTGCTTTCTTAAACTCATGAAGGTGAAGCAAAGGGATAGAGCATTTCTGTTTATTTCTTGACCTACTGGGCAACGGGGGGAAAATGAAGATGCCTTTGAGATTTTTTCTTTCCCCCTCTCTCAACCCCTTTCGGCAAGTGCCCTAGTCGTGGATTTTCAAGTTTTTCATGTGCAGGAAGATGAAGCTATTAATGAGGAAAGTCAAATATATTGACTTCTTATAAGAAAAAAATCACAAAGTATCTCTTTCCTGCAGTTATGAACTCTAGAGGATAGTAAACCATGTCATTCTGTAGACTTAAGAAGGTGAAAATGTTAAAAATTTGTTTTGAGGGCAATTTCTGAAAAATAAGTGTTCCGGAACCGTAAAGAGCCTTCTGCGTTGGGGCAAGGGCTGAGTGGGGAGAGTCCCGTCTTATCTATCATACTTTAGAAAATGGTCAGCTCTGTGCCCTGGATAAGTCTGGAAACAAATTGGTTAACATAAATTAACGCAAAGAGTGTGTTATTACAACTCACTTTTGGGACCAGTCTTTAGAATGATTATTAGCTTCTGACAGATGCAGGGGAAGTCCCCCTCTGCCTGCTGCTAGAGCCTGGAGCCTGTCCCTGGAAAGCACCCTTGCTTCTCTACCCACCACTGGAGTGGAGCTTTCATCTGGTTGTCTTTCAAGGCAGCCTGGGTGGCCCCCAAAAGCACTTGACATCTTGATGCTCTTCGGCAGTTTTACATATACACAAACTTTGTAGAAACATAAATTTGTCATTCGTCACCACATATGTTGATCTGGGGAGCGAGGTGCTTGCAGGTCTAGCTCCTGAGCTATTTGTGGCACTCTCTCTCTTTTGCTGGATGTTGCTCTCTGTTGTTTGTTTTGGAAGCTAAAATAACTCACATCTGTAGAGACCTTAGGGGTGAGTCCTTAAATCCAGCACTGTTGTATTTATCTCAGGTAGATAAAGGTGGACGAAAATGGTAAGTGCCCATATTACTTGTCAATTTATATTGGTAAAGGCAAACCTTCAAGACTTGAGATTTGCAGCAAACCTTCATGGTACCTAATCTGTTATCGCTTCTTTGTGGGACATCTAGGCAACCGTGACCTGTTCTACTCTGCCTTGGGGAATGTGATAAAGGGGAAGAAACAGCTGGTTCAAGAAAAGCCTTTCAGACATGGTGGTAGTTTACAAAGACAATAATAATATTTTCTCACGAATGGCTTTAGATACATGTATGGTACACCAAAGGAAGCAAGCAATCCTAGTCAAAATATTTTCTTAGGTTAGTAAGAGAGCTCTATTAAAAAAATAATAATAAAGAATGTACACTTTTCTGGGTCAGAGAAAAATGTAAAATATGCATAGCAGTTAAAAAAGGTCTCCAAGCGCATCCTACACTTCTTAAAACTTGTCTTTTCCTTCAATGCCGTTTAGTTTTATAACTGTTAGCTTCAGTAGATTTGTTTGTGTGTGACTCTGCCTAACTAAACAGAATCTGTCTCGTTAAATTCTTTTTTATCTCTATGTTGATTCTTCCAACTGAAGCAACAACAGCCAAAGTTTACAAACTTTGGATGGTAAAAGTAACCAAGGTCCAAGAATCTATTTGTTTTTTAGGGTCCAAAATAAGGTAGTAAGCAGATATATTTGTGACACTGTCAGCCTATGAACTTCTATATCTGTCCTATCACTTCCTCGCCTCACAACTTCGGTTAAGGCATTTAACCTCTCTTGAGGCTCAGTCATCCTCATTGGTCAAATGGGGATGATTCCACTTTTCTTTCCTGCAGCACAGAGTTTTTGAGGAGCAAATTCGCATTATATGTGAAGGTGCTGTGTAAGGTGTTACTTTGGATTTCTAATAATTCTTTATTTAAGGAAGTAAGACCTTAAGAGTCTGTGGGCAATCTGCACTTTGGTATCAGCTAGGTAGAAAAGGAAGCTGTCTTGGTATTGAGGCTGGCGGATGAAAAAGACATCAAGAAATCTGTACGGATAATCCAATGCCTATAAAGACCACCAACTGTATTATCGATTTAGCAAATGTAAAACATCTCAACAAAACCAACATACTGTTTGTAGACCGGAATGACAGTAAGCTTTTTAGCAGCAATTCTGAAAGTTTACAAATTTGTCAAGGTTAACTGTGAGGTAAAAATAGGTTTTTGGGTAGGTGAGATAAATTTTACCCCCTCAGAAGCAAGCATCTAAGAACAGGTATCTTATAAGGATATTCTGCAGTAATTTATTTAATTTGTCCTTTTTTTTTTTTTTTTTTTTTTTTTACCTGGAATATGGCCTCGGCAAGTATAAAAGAATTCTTTGCAATAGTCTTTGCAGAGCAGGGGAAGTGCAAGGTCTCTTTCCAAGGCTTCTCTTTCAGGTGAGTGGAACAGGCTCTGGGAATGTGGAGAGCAAAGTGCACATTTGATTTCCTCCAGTAACTTCCCACATTCTGTGTTGTTGGTAACAGAAAATATCTGAAAGCCATAAATCAGAAACAAACTTCTCTTTAGTCACGTGAAGTTAGGTTTAGTTATGTTTTTTGTAATCCTATAAGTAGACTCATGTAACTTAGCCACAGCGGTTGTCTGAAAAGAATTACTATGTCACAAATACAGAATGCTTTTAATAAGGATATAAGTGGAGTCTCTTGGCCTGAGATGGGGGAGCAGAGGGTAAGGATGCATAAAAGTGCTTCTTACCCTTGCAGGTCAAAGTCTGTTTATCTTTCAGGTATGAAAAACTAAATGACAATAGTACTGAGACCCTTTAACCCTTTATCATTTTACTCTGTGTCAAAGTGTACAGTGACTGATATTTACTCTAAATACCTTTATCCAACTGTATGTAAAGCAGAATTTTCAAAGACATGGTTATTTGTGTCTCAGGTAAAAATGTAGTTCACTCCTGATATTCCTAATATGATATTCTCAGGGATATTATTGGAATTACATTTCTCTAATTTCAGGTAGTTTTCAATCTACAGATTGCATAGGGAAAGTTTCCTACAGTGGGGGAAATACCTTCTTTTCATGTTGTATAAAAAAAATATCTGAAGCTGAACTGGTTTAAGACCAATTTTTATTATTCATTTTATCTTAGCCAGGAAAAACTTTCTAACTAGCTCCTCAGGTATGTTATATGCATGAATAAACACAGGGGTTTAATAAAAGTGCTTTTGCATAGGATTTAGTGAGTTTTAGTAAAAAAAAAAAAAAAAGGAATACTTTATTTATACAATATTATATCTTTTATTTCAGACTTTTATCTTTATTTATACAGTATTACATCTTTTATTTCAGTAAGACTAATTCAGGAGTTACTGATTCACTGAGGTTAGTAATTTGTCAATGAAGTTGGTCTTGGTGTCTAGTACTAACTTTAAAAAAAAACGACTTCAGGAGCTCCTCCAATAGACATGGAAGACAATACCAGCACAATATTTGAGACTTGAAATGTAGTGCTGTCTAAATTAAGTATTGATTTTTCATAATGGGAATAAATTTCATACCTTTTCTGTTTATATAACTACATTTATGCCTAATTATTTCTTTAGAACTATGAACTGAAATTAACATCTGAAACTTCAGATCATTGTTTAAAGCAAATACTTCATTCACAAGGAAGTTCTAATTTGAGTAAATGGCATGGCTTCTGTTTTTTATGATAAAGATATTCTAGATGATCACGAAATTTGGACCTGAGAGAACAAAGTGACTAAAAAGTATCACTGAATACAAGCATGATAAAACTTTAGCATGTAGTAATTAAAAGTTCCATAGAAGTTACCCTATTTCAAAAAAACTATATATATTTTGCAATGTGTTGTAACTATCTACAACATTCAGAAAAGTTATTATTAATCACAATTATATTTACATTTTGATTTTTATCAATTTATTTAAATGACAATTGCTTAAATGGTTAAAGTTTTCTGAAAGGAAACATACGCCAGACACTTAGAATTTGCATTCCAAGAATGTTTTAAATGTCTTTTATTGTCCATATTCTGGCAGACCTCACCAGATCTATTCAATATTAATACTGTTCAACTTTGTTCTGTTTGCTTATTGTACAGCAGGGCACTAAGAACAAAACAACTGCAGGATGCTGAAGTCACCTTTTTTGCTGGCTGAAAAACTGGAATATAATTACCTTTAGTTTTATGGAGAATATGCATGCTTCCATTTTTTTATAGCTGAAACAAAATGATCCTCATACACCCTCCCAGCTGCTGTCCAGGAAGAGCTTGATTTTAGTGCCTGAAGAATTTTGTCTTTTACAATTTTTGGAATGTGTTCTGGCCACAAGATCTCTCATCAAAAGTTTCAGAAATAGGATTCAATAAATTATCTGAAATCGAGTATAATGTTATTCTCTGTAAAGTTTCATGCTGTTCCGGCCCAGCAGGATGGTAACATTTTGCTCTGTGTGAGGTCTGCAGTGTAAATACCTATTTGAAGATAGATAGAGCCATCATTCTGGCTTTGGTTTCAATGAACCAATAGTCTTACTGAAGTCAATTAAACGGACTCAGTCCAAGCTGCAACACTGTTTTAGACAGATGAGTCCTGGTGTGTGTAGGGTAGTTTTTCTTCTTTTTTTTGCCTATGTGCTTGTGTCCATATAGGTCCTTAACTTTATGTCTGACAAGGTCATCAATCTTAAGAAGAAATTTAAGCTAATTTCCTGTTTCGATTTTTAAAAGCCATCTATGAAACCATCAAATTATAGTGGTTTAAACTAAATATACTTTGAAAGTCATGTAAAACTTCGAAACATTATTACAGCATGCCTAGTAATGATTGTGGCTGTTGCTGACTAATTTATAACATCTGGCAGGTCATCCTTTAATCTTGAGCCACAAGAAAGGAAAATCCATAGAAGAAAGGTAAGATAAATACTGGAATACACACAGTGGAGCGTGGCCTACAACTATAGCTTATCAACAAATGGTAAAATGGGTGACAGAGACCTTCTGTATTTCTCTTTATTTATCAAGTAACTGAACAAAGAGGATAAAAAGGCACCCACATGGGTTCGATGAGCAGACAAAAGGAGAAAATACATGACAGTATATTAAGATGTCGCCTCAAGATCACTTGGTACACAAAAAGTTATTTCTAAAAATCATATGCCTACAAGGTTGTTCAGCTGTTGGCTAGAACACATGCGTCTCTGGACTATAGTGCTGGATTATGTCATTAAAGAGTTCAGTTTCAATTTTAGGCTAATATGTAAATAGATCATTGTACTAAGGCAGCTGTTAAAGGGACCCCAGGATGAGTTATTTGTTTAGTTGGATGTGTTCAACAATAGCCTTTGTCCCTGAAAGAGCCAGAGCAAACAAATGATTGTAAAAGGGCACACTTGAAAACAATTACTTTTCACCCATTCCTTGACAGCTTTGGCTGTGAAACCACCCAAGGTAGAGAGAGCATCTAAGCCTCTGTGGCTCCAAGTTAAGTTTTAGAAATGGGGGTATTTCAGTTGGCTGCGGATTCAATCTGGCTAATGGGAATTAGATCCTTTTAGCATGTTGTATTTAGGAGCTGCAAAAAAATATTGCCAAGACAATGTAACTTCCTAAATTTTGGCAGTATTTATTTATAATGGTAGTTAATAATCTCGTTACAATACACGAGATTACTAAACTGTACTAAAAAATTAGAATATGAAAGCATAATACCATGGCCAAAGGACTGAACTCAATCTTAGTTCATTACATTAAAGAAAATGTGTTAGTTTGTAAATTTGATTTAATTGCACAGATGAGCATGCTTAATATTCCTACCTTGTTTGCTACTATCTATGAACTTTCTTCCTGTAGGAGGAAGCTATGCTTGCAGTTTCTTGAAAAGTTGCACAAATCCTTCTTGGGATTTTTTCTTTTTTTTTTTCATAAACAAAAATGGGTCCGTTCAAATAGCCATCATCTCTCCTGTACACACATTATGAAATAAGACCCTAACATATATTATAAGCCAGAAAGGCTTAGGGGAAAACAGGGAAACACTGAAGTTTATTATAAAATAACATGTTTTAAAAACTGTTAAAACTTGAGAACTAACATAGGTCAAGAATGCACATGCACAGCTATATCACTACTCTGTTTTGAACAATTTGAGTATTGTTGGTTTATAAAGCCCTTGTAATGGAACCAGCAAAGTCTAGTGTACCAAATTTAATTCAGACACATTTTCCAAATGAGTAGGGGTTTGTTGGAGATTGGAAGCACGTAAAACGGAAAGGAATGTGGATAGCTAACATGGCAGATTTCTTCCTAAAGAATGATTTCTTAAAAAAAATTTATATAACACCTCTTAAGGGTTATGACTCCCCTCAGTTCCTCCCCCCACTCCTCCAACTCCCCACTCTATTTAGTTAACAAAGTTTTCATTTCTCATGCTCCTGGATGAGTTCAGTATTGCAGGGGTCTGCAGATCACTGGGATATTCATAGTGCACATTACACACAGGGAGACTTAATGGCAAATATTTCTAAGCCCTTCTATGAATTTCCTGGTTCTTCTGGTCTCCTGGTAAAATCCTGCAGATAATGTGAATGTAGCTTTTTTTTAAAAATTTAATTCAATTACCATACAGGAGCTTAATGACATTGTTTTGAATAAAATGCTGGAATATCTGTTCCCTGAATCTCAGACTACTGCTGCATATGGTAAGAATAAAGAGAGAGTTGCAGCTGAAAACCTGCAGCAAGACAGTTCTCACTCATCTGGGAATAGAGGGAGTTGGACAAATGCTCCCTCAAAAGGCATGAACATTTGGACAGAGCTGGGGACTGAAAGAGAATGATGTTCTCTAGTTTCACCCATTAGTGAACCAACTAACAAACACAATGGTGTTGTTGTTATTCTTTTGCCATAAGCAACAGGACTCTGTGTGTGGGCAACAGTTTAGTGGGGAGGAGGATAAGTCGACCCCTTTTTGTCCTATTGATTTTTTCCTATTTGCATGACTTGAGCAAATTAAATGATGCAATATGGCTTTTTGTTACAAAACAAAGTGAGAGATACCACCCAGACACATATGTTGATTCGTAGGAGCTGTTTACATGAGAATAGAGTGAAATCTACCGTGAACTGAGCATAAAAATTAGATTCAGCCTGGGTATTTTTTTTTTTTTAATGCCTGGGCCAGCAAGACTGAAGCACAAGTTTTCCAAGAGTCTCTCAGACCTTGACAACTGCAGTGTTGTAACAGAGGAATTCTTAATTAAACCTAAAATGGAGAAAGGGAGGGGGAGCAAAGACACCTGATTGTTTATTTCACGTGCAGGGATTGTTAATGACATGATCCCCCGCCTGCCTTGCAGTACAGTAGAGAGCACACGTTGCTGCATCCCATGACAAGAAAGATGTTGCAAACTCAAAAATAAGCTTGCCTTTACACTCAACCAACACTCTTCCATATTTGTTTAGACTTAAGAACACAAGGAAAGTGTAAATGCCATTACTCCTAAAACCAATTTCTAGAGAAGATGTTCCTAGACAACTCACTGCCATGCAAAGCCCGAATTTACAATGTTTCAAAACATTACAAACCGAGGCGGAGAGAATAGTCTCAGTTTTCTGAGACAAATATGCCCCAGCAAAATCTTTCGCCAGTCTTTCGGGTTCTCAACGGGAGTACCAGGAGTTCCTTTTCGCAGCTTAACTATTGTAATGCAAGACAACCCCCTCTGACGGGGTTGGGGCTCATAAACCAACCATGCTTCAACATCCTTTACGATTCAATCCTCTCCCTAACCGAGCACGTGGAGAAAACTGCACAAATCTTGTTACCCTAGAAAAATAAACCGGAAACCACAACCACCTTAATTTACAGTTTCACCGCAGCCAATGCCCGATTCGATCCAAAACACACTGCTAATCGCGATTCTTTTAAAATATTTACCCAGCCCAGAATGCGGGTACCACAGAAGCTTCTCTTTTCTGAGACCGGCAGTTTTGCACAGCATCCCACCGCAGACTCTTGGGGGCGGGAGAGCTATCTGCGCACCCCAGAGAAACGCACGACCAAATCACACTAGCACTTCAGAAAAGTTACCGGAAAGAACCCTCCTCACAGCCACCAGCATTTCTGGAGCCGCGGGGAACCCCCACCTAGCCAGGACGTCAGTCTCGCATCTGTGAGGAGGGTGCGTGCTTACCTTGTTATCCAGGCGCCCCAACCCTGGGCTGTCACTCCGCAGGCAGCAGGACAGACGAGGGTAGAAGCCACCGCACAGCATCTCTCCCCCACTCAGCAGCTCCAGCTGGGACATCATCCGCCTATCTCTCCTTTTCAGGCGCTTCGGGGGGTTCCCATTTAGGCACCTTCTCCTCCTCGCTCCGCTCCCTTCACTTCTTTCCCCAAACTTAGCATCTCCTTCAAAGAAGCCCAGAGCCACGGCCAGAAGCAGCAGCTTAAAGGAGAGCATCTTCAGCATCGTCTGCCCCGAGCGGCAGGGGCTCGGCGCAGGAGGATGGGGGGTGGGGGGGGGAACGCCACTGCCCAGCAGGGGCACTAGGGCGCAGCTCCAGGAGGAGGCTGCGGGGGACACTCGAGAGGCAGAGAGCGGTGGCGGGGGCGAAAATATGTGGAGCGATGCAACTTTGCAAAAAATAAAAAGATAAGGCGATGGGTCCAATGCCTTAGGGGAGTCCGAGGAGCGAGATAAAGTTGTCCGGATGACACCGTTTGCAGTTGCGCGAGTGTCAGTTGGGTTAGGGGCTTCCTGCTGCGGCTGGGAAGTGGGAGGAGGAGTTGGAAAAGGAGGAAGAAGAAGAGGAAGAGAAGACGGCCACAGAGGTTCACTTGTCCGTGTAACGGGAGTTGTTTAGGTGAGACAGTAGCAGGAACAGAAACGGCGGCGGCGGCGGCGGCGGCAGCGGCGGGGCAGGCGCGGGCAGGGCCAGCGCTGGGCTCTAGATGATGCTGAGGTCTCCTGTGCCGGCGCCTGCAGCTTCTCACACAGCCTCTCATGTTTCGCTCCCTCTTTTCTTCTTCTTTTTAACTAGCGCGCGGGGAGGTGCTGCCACCGCGCGCCCCTTGACGTCACCGCTCCTTGCGCGCCCCCGCCCGAGCCGGGCCGGGGGCGGGGGAGTGGGGAGGGGAGGGGGCGGCCCCAGCGAGAGCGCGTCTCCCGGGCCCGACGGCCTTGCGGCTGCGGCGGGGAGGGGCCGCAGCCCAAGGCGGCGGACGGAGGGGGAGGGCCCGGTGGAGCCCTCGGAGCCAGCCTCGAGGGCGCGGGACCGAGCGCGCCCGCCTTGCCGAGGTACCCGGCTGGGGGCATCCATGGCTCTGGTCCTTTGGCCCGCGGGCCCGGAGAGACTGAGATCGCTCGCTGGCTCCTCTCTCCTCCCCTCAGCCCCTCCGCACTACCCCTGGGTAAAGGAGGCCAAGCCCAGGCTCGGAGAGCAAGTGAGTAAAAGTGGGCCGCGGGGGGTGAGAAGGGAGGGGCCCCTTCCAGGCCTCACCCCCCCAACCCTCGGCCCGCCCCTCGCCCCGGGCGGGGGAGGATGCACGGAGTGGGCTGGAGTTGGCGGTAGGTAGTTTTTCGGTCCCTTTCCCGTCTCCCCGCCGCACGGATTCCCCTGCTCCCCGGTGATTTCCAACGTGAAACTCGAGTCGGTAAAGCTCATCCCTGGGGTCTGATTTAGAGGCGGGGGGACAACTCAAACGCTGAGAGCCGCTGAGTAGGTTAAGACGGTTTGAAGACTATTGGAGAAGTACCCGTCCTTGCTGAAGGTGCTGCGCGCTCCCGAAGTGGCACAAGCGCGTGTGCGTGCATGAGGTGGGGTGTCGGGTCCCCCAGCCTGGCGGGCGGGCCCCGGACTCCCCTTTCTAGGGACCCACCTGTGCCCTGGAAATCATCTGGGCCCGGCCCGCACCTCCCCGGGACGCAGGAGCGCAGGTTCCTCCCCGCCAGGTGAAGGAAACTGGCCGAGAAATCAGCGTTCATTTTCAAGGGGGTGGGGGAGGATCCTGGGGAGATTTCCCCGGGGGTGTAAATACAGAGCGTTAGTTCTGGAGGAAGAATTAGTAGCAGGGTTTCGGGCGTGCAGAAGCGGGATGCCCACTGTATCCCGTGTACCTAGATATTAACCTTTCCCCCAGGTAGACAAAGTCTGTGTAAAAATGTTTCTAAAAAGATCTGTACGTTAAGAGTGGTGACTTGACATTTACGGGATCCCCGCAAGTTGGCGTGAGAAGGAGCCTGTAAGGGACTGCACACAGAACGTGCTTTCTGCCCGTTTGAGTATTTTTAACAGGGGAGCAGATTTTCTGTTAGGATTTTGAAGAGGAGATAAGGCAGATTTCCCATTTTGGCCATGGAAGAATGTTCCCCATATTTGGATTTGCTTCACTTCTCGGACATAAACTTCTCCAAGCTAACGTGAAAGTTGGTGGAGGTGGACAGCGGATTAAACGAATTACTGTTATTAAAGTGGCCGCAGTGGCTAGATAAGTCTTCTCTTTGCCCCTTTCGATTTCTGGACCCTAATTTACTAGTGGAGTGAGGATTTTCCCCAAAGAGGTGACCGATTAGAATAACTGAAAAAAATCTGCTGCGATATTTGGTCCAGTATTGAGCTCAGTGTAGGTCCGGGATGGCATGCTTACCATTTCTCTCAGGGGCTGTTGTATACGCATGACTTTTTAATGTGTGTGATCGCAGATGCTACTTCTGATCCCACAGACTGCTTTATCTGACGTTCTTCCTGCATTGAGGACTTTTAATATAAAATAAATCATAGAGCTATAAGGACTTAAGACTTTAAACTCTCATTTAATAAACAGGAGAAGACAGATTCCATCCAGATGAAGTCACTTGCACAATCTCAAGTAATTAAGTAGCCCTACAACCAGGACTCAGGGATCCCATCTACGCTGTTTTCCACTATCCAATCCTTTATTCACAAATAACCAGTTTTATTTTCAATTTCCAAAATAAAAATCGTTAAAAAAAATTATATTTCGGTGGTTTGAGCTCCCACTCCAAATGATGAATTCATCTTAGTAGTTTTGGAACAGGCCTTCCTTCCTTATGGTTTGTACTCCGAGACAAGGACATTGAAAAGTTAATTTTAGTTTTAAAAAATAATGTGGCTCTTAAAATCTGTGACCCTATGTTTTAAGAAATAGATTTATAAAAGATTACTGAAATGAGATAAACATGTTCTTTCTTGATACATGGGAGCTAGAATTGATCCCGTATGTTGTTAGTCATAACAGTCAATAAATCAGATCACTGATGAAATAGCAGAGTTTATTCTCAGTGCCACTGATATAATTTCCAAAAAGTCACTAAGCAGTGCTATAAAAGGGAACTAACTTCTGATTCTTCTTCTTCTTCTTTTTTTTTTCCAGAGGGAAATTGCACAGCTCACCTAGAGCCAGCTTGACAGCATAATTTTTAGGACTCAAGAATCAGCATTGCTTTATTTAAGATTAAGCCTTGAGAGTCCACTTGATCGTGGCACATCATGTACACACTTGAACATGGAAATGATCTTCCCTCAAGGAGATCTCTCTCTTCAGAGAAGTGGTTCCAAGAAGAAGAGACCCCCTATCTGACCAAACTCAGCCAGACAAATTTAATCAGTGTTTTTGAGCAAAGAGTAAAGCTGTACAAGGGTGGCCTGATCATCCCTTTCTGCTTGCATCACCACTGAGCAGCCCCCTCCAGGATGGCCACCTACAAGCAGGTTGTGCCTTGTACCAGGGCACCTGGCTGGGACAGCCAATGAGAGCTGAAGTCCTGCCAGGCTCCACTCACCAAGCCAGGTTTTTGGGTCCGTGGTTGTGTCTACTCAGACGATGTGGCTCCTTTCCTAAGTTGTACCAATGCACCCTGTATGGGCGAGGGGCAATTCTGACCATCCCCATACCATATCCCAGTTCTACCTAGGATTCCTTACCCCAGATGGAATGAAGATTCTCATGAACAGATTAGGTTTGTTGTAAAAGATGAAATTTTTGAACCAAATTGAAATTAGTTTCATAGATAAAGCTCAAAATATTACTATGGATGTGAATTATGTTTGTGCATATTTATATATGCATGTATATTTGCTATGGATATAAAATATGTTTGTATGTATTTATATCTATATATAGTTATGTGGATACACATTTTTATGTATCAGAAATTAGCACAACTTAAACTTAGTAAATGTTGAAATTAAAACTATTTTGGGTATTGGAGTCAGTTTTATATATGAATTTCTGGTCTCGTCACAGAAATATATACTGTTATATTTCAACAAATATATATTAAGTGCTAGGCACTGTGGTGAGCAGTATGTATACAGTAATGACAAATAATACTTCTGCTTCTAGGTAGTTTATTATCTAGCAAGGAGGACAAATGATAAGGTCACAGAATAACTTATGATTTTATAAATTGTGCTAAGGACTGTGAAACACATGCCAAGACAGAGAATAACAAGGCACACTTATTTCAGATTAAGTGACTGGAAAAAGTCTGTCTGTGAAAATGACATTTCAGTTGAGACCTGAGCTCAGTTGGAACGAGTTTATGTTGTAACTCCATAACGTTTAAAGTAGAGAAGCATTTGAATTCAGACTAGAATATGAGACATTTAAGGGAAGGCACAGAATAAAGAGGTAAATAAGGAGAGAGGTTAAATAATAGTGTAGTTTATAAACTAGGTAACTAATGAAGTTATATTCATGTATTTATCCTGTCCTTTTGCAAATACCTAATCCTCATTGATCTTTGTCTCTCTCTTTAAATCCTTGGTTTTTACTCAACTTCCAGGGCTTATTGTAGTTTGAATGGACATGATAATGGCCATTGCATCTTACCTAACCAGCACTTAGGTGTGATGTTTTTGTTTTCATTTGTGCATTGTTGGTAACTGTCTTTCATTCATCGGAGTTAAATATCCATGAGGTTTTAAGCTCTACGAGGGCAGGAATTACATTTCCTTCTTGTTTGGCTCTCCCAGCAAAGACTCTTAATTTCATACTCACCATTCTACGCATACCGTGCCCTACACCAGCCTCACCACGCAATGACCAGTCTGTCCATAAATTCTGCTGACAGCCCAGTCTTGCTTGACTTAATACTTTTAAAGTTTAAAATGGAGAAAATATTTGCATTATAAAAAAGTTTCAATTGTTAAACAGAAGGGAACACACAACTTAAGGTGCCCATGGTGAAAGAATTTCTGGAGATGCTGCTACAAAGTGTGGCTCCACTGAGGAAAGGCAGCCAACAAAGCCAAAGAAGAATCACACATCTTTAAAATGAAGACTCTTTATAGTTCAAGGGTAGGGCTGCTGGTAAGGGTTTTGCTACAGTTATTCAGTCTTCCTTTCAAAAGTTGGCACTTATGTGCCAGACCCTGCTCTGGGCACTGGGGACACAGTAGTGAACAATGATCCTCTCATGGAGCTTGCATGCTTCTGGAGGAGGCTGTAAATAACAAACGGATACAAAGTATGCCAGGAGGTGATGCCTGCTATGAAGGAAAGGATTATGGGGCAAGAGAAGGCAGGAGTTGTGAGAAATAATACTTTTGTATACATTGTGAGCAAAGATGTCTCCAGAGGTATGGGCAGAGACTTGAAGTAGTAAGCCGCATGCATGCAGTTGTCTACAAGCATAGGGAACAGTAAATCAGAGGCCATGAAGCAAGCATGCTTGGTATGTCTTAGGATTAGCAAAGAGACCAGTGTGGCTGGAACAGAGTGGGTGACAGAGGAAATGATGAGAAACGCTGGCAGAGAAGTAGCCAGGGGCAGGGCACAGATTGCATAGGATTTTGTAAGCTCTGTTTCAGATTTTG